CAATGATGAAAGAATATTTTGAAAACATAAATTTTATAAAATGTTTTCACAACTCAGTCATGATCAATGTCGAATTTTTCAAGAAGTAATGAAATTAAAAAAAAAATTTCTTTCATCGATGGTCCTGGTGGATCTGGAGAAACTTTTCTATACAAAAGATTAATTTATTATTTCATATCAATTGAAAAAAAATTCTTACGATGGCTTGGACAAGTATTGCTTCTATTCTGCTTCCAAAGGGAAATACCACTTACAGAACTTTCAGACTTCCTTTAGACTAATGCACTATAGAAAGTGCATTCTTCCAGTTTGAGCCAGATTAACAAAAATTACGGAATGTAAAAGTAATTATTTGGGATGAAGCTTCTATGGCACCGAAAAAAGCATTAGAAATCGTTGATAGGACTTTCAAAGATATATCTAGTAGTGATAAACCTTTTAGAAATAAAATAACAATTTTAGGAAGAGACTTTCGACAAATTGTCCCAGTAGTAAATAACGGAAGCAAAATTATTATTGTTTAAGAAACCATACAATTTTAAAATTTTTGGCCTTTACTTAATATTTTTCATTTAAAAAAAAATTTACGTTCAATTAATAAAGAATATTCTTTATTTCTACTAGCTATAGGAGAAGCAAAATTAAAACTTTCAGAATTCCTCAGACATGGAAAACAAATGATACATAATCTAAAATTTTTAATAATGATGATGATTTTCTCATAAGTAAAGCTATATTAACATTTCACAATGAATAAACACATTTTTTGAACAAAAAAATTTTAAACAAAATAGTAGAAACATTTGTAAAGTATTAACGTATTGATAAAGCAACTCACAAGGGAGTAAATAAATCAGACGATAATATTTATTTTTACTTTCCTACATAATGTTTGAATAGTATTAAAAAAGGTCTTCCTCCACACAAATTGAATTTAAAAATAAACGCTATTGTTATGTTAATACGAATTTTAAACGTTTCTCAAGCACTTCGCAATGGTACAAGATTACAAATTACAAAATTATTCAAATGCTACATCAAAGCTGAAATAATCACAGGTGAAAAAAAAACAATAAAGTATTTATCCCAAGAATAATACTAAAAACAAACAATTCTTCTTTGCTACTATTTATATTGTACAGAAAACAATTTTAATTGACCTTTGCTTTTTCTATGACTATCAATAAATTTCATGGTCAAAGTTTTGATGCGTTAGGATTATACCTTCGAAAACCATTATTTTCTCATAGGCTATTATATGTTGCATTGTCTAGATGTAGAAACCGAAAAAAGTTTTTATCCAAATTGAATCAGAAAACAAATTTTAAATTGAAAATATTGTTTGGAATG